ACCCCACCCCACCCTACCCACCCACCCACCCACCCACCCACCCACCCACCCACCCGCCCACCCACCCACACGCACACCCACCCACACGCACACCCACCCACCCACCCACCCACACGCACACCCACCCACCCACACGCACGCCCACCCACCCACACGCACACCCACCCACACGCACACCCACCCACACGCACACACACCCACGCACACCCACCCACGCACACCCACCCACGCACACCCACCCACGCACACCCACCCACGCACACCCACCCACGCACACCCACCCACGCACACCCACCCACCCACCCACCCACCCACCCACGCACACACACCCACGCACACACACCCACGCACACGCACGCACGCACGCACGCACACACACACACAACATGGAGGGATAAAGGGGCACTGCGTTTTTTTGACAGACATCAACCATACCAATGTGTTTGGAGTTGAACAATCTCAGTTTAGGAAGCTAGGGCCAAGTTCCCTGGACATGAATGTCACAGTGCAGCTGCGTTTGTGGCAGGACCACAATCGGTCCTGCGGAAAGGCGGGTTCGGCGCTGTTGTCAAACTAGTTGGACACCACCATGTCATGGTTTGCCCTCCATGGCTGCTTTCTTTTCAACTGGGGAACCCTGAAGCCCTGAACGTCGGCGCATTCCTAAATGGCCGCTGGCCTACCGAGTTCGTCGTCCAAGATTCTCGGTAGTGCTGCGATCAGTCGCTCAGTTTAAATCGTATCGGTTGTTGTTCCTGATCATCCATTTTTCAAGGGAGGTTCAGGTGATATACGTTTGCCACTTGTTTTGGATTGACTGTTGTCAATGCTCTGCATGGCAGATATTTGTCGTGCTGGCATTGTTGCTTCGTCAGTCAGGTGAGTACCGCGTTTTCGCTGGCACAACCACGAATGCCCCACGCCCAGCTAGAGTCTGGCGGTATGAAGGCCAAGCCAACCCTTAATCCCCATCATATAACCCTTGATTCTCCACGATGCTGGCAGCGGCCGAACTGGGGGCTGCGAGAAAAGCAGCCAACAACGCAAACCGAACAAACAGCCCCTGCGCCAGAATGTGTCTGCTCGTTTTGAAAGATATTGATTGCCCTGGTTTTGGCAGGCCTGGGAGCAGCTTGGCTTGATTTATGAGAAGGAGCAGGCGTACAAGGACTGGGCATGTGGGCATCAACCAACATGAAGCTTTTGCAAAGGGCACAACACATGACGCCAGTTTGGATGAGTCCCTTTTGACATCTTTGGGCGCAGTTCGGTGCACGCGGGCACAAGTTGCTGCTCTTTTCACCGGGTTGATCCGGGCTTGGGGCGGCCCGGCGGGTTCCGGGTATGTTACGGAGGTTCCGGGAGGTTCCAGGCAGACAATCTCTGGGAAATTTCTGGGCTGGGCAAATGATCACGACCTCACAGGGATTTGCAACCCCCATGAAGGTTCCTTTGCGGGGCCCCTTTGCGACTTCATGGAGCCTCGGAGTTTCTCAGTTTTGCCAGGATGCTGCTTCTCACTATGAGAAGGCCTGGGAGTTCTGCAACGAGGCCTCGCCGGCAGTCGGCCCCAGTCTTAGACTCAAAGCTCGCGCCCAGACCTTGGTTGGACCACACGGGGCTGAAGGGAAGGTGAGCCACCATCAAAGCCCATTCTGGTAACTGGGGTGGGGGGATGTGGGGGGGGTGTTTCATGCAAGAAGCCCGTTGTGGTGTTATCCATGGCTTTGGCCGCTTTTAACACCGGGTTTGATTTTAGCTCTGTCACAACCCCGGAGCTGTGTGTTCACGCGTCTATTTCTGAGCCACGCATGTTCACCGACTGTGCTGTGAGGTTACCGACTAGCTTTCAACTACTTGAAGGCGAAGAGCGCCTGGCCTGCCTTGCGAGCTGACGGTTCGCTTCAAAGTTGGGTTGGGACGGCAAGGCTGTCATTGGAGCCCCCCGGAACATTTTTGTGCCTTCGCCTTTCGAAGAGCCCGAGCCACAATCAAACATGATACACCTTCAGAAGACCAGATCAGGGAGAATGGGGGCTTGTCAGCTGTCCCGACCGATCGCTGTGCACTCAGAAGAGGGCACCGATGCCAACGCCGAGGATATGTGCCCGCCATCAACGTGTGCCAGAGCGTCTTGAAGATCTCGGAGAACTACCCGAAGATCAAGAAGGACGGCTCTGACTTACGGGTTAATCACGAAAGCTAGCTTTAGCTAGCTGAAGTTTCTCCTTGCGTAGCAAGGTAAGGGGCTCAACTGCCGAAAGATTGATTTTTTCAATTATTTGAGCCGAAAAGATTGAAAAAAATCAATTATTTAGACCCCCCCCCCCCCCTCCCCCCGGGCAGTGGCTCAGTGTTTCAGCAGTCTCGGTTTGCCCGTTTTGGACTTGGTGCTACGAACTTTTACATGTTCCACCGATTCAGCTTGTTCATTTGAGACCTCAGTCTTCTTAGTAAACCACCTCGCAAGAATCTTTGCACACGCAGCATGCAGAACCCAGAGGTGCTTTAAGACAGCTTCTGACGCCTCTCGTTGTTTTCATTTTTCAAGGTTTGCCACGCCACCATGTGCGTTTGCGTGTCGCATCCTACGAATCTTGCCGGGCCTCTCGTTGTACACAAGCTACCTATGAATCCACTCTGTCACCGACCCATCTCATGCAACAACTGCTAGCTTTCGTTCACCCGCTCCTCAAGTTCCATTTGGACCATTCCAAATGGTTGGTGTCGTTTTGGCCTCCTCTTTAAATCAGTTCCCATTCGGTTCCATTCCCAGCACATTCCTTCATCAAGGCTAAACTCCATACTTCAGCCTGGAACTTTTGTCCCCAATTTTCCTTCCCAAAACTACCAGACAAGCGAACACACAACACCGCCACAAGCCCAACTTGCATTGATGGACGTTGCTTCCGAAGTTCATAGTATCTAACCTTGGCAAACCTTTAGCATTGATTTTCATGATAGAAGGTATGGGAACTGTAACCCAGAAAACAACTGCCAGCCTTTTGGGGATGAGTCAAAATGGCGTCTCACTAGCTTTATCAGTCACAAGATGGCACGCCAATCCAAGACAAGCCACCAAGGTCCGTTGTGCAGAGCTGTTTTTGCCGAAATGAGTTGAGTCGACACCCTGTAGGACGTGCTGGAGAAAGCTCGAAGCCTTCTGAGATCATGAGGGTGTCAATCACGTTTCATATGCATGTGCACGTCCTGAAAATCAGGGCTCGCGGACCTCGCAGGCAGTGACTGGTGACTCAAGCGCAGTGCATCCGCTGTTGGCAGCGAGGGTAGACGCTTGGGACAAAACTTCTGAAGCCTTTTGCTGTCAAGACGTGAAAGACAACAAAGAGGTGGATGGCCTCTATATATTGTGACAGCTTGAGGCAGACACATACCAGACTGATGAAAGATTGTGGCCAGGAATTTGCAGGTTTGGGCTTTTTTTATTTGGCCAGGAGTGGCGCTGCTGGTGGCAGCCGTCCTTTTGCTTCTCTTGCTCTTCACCCGGGCAATCTTCATAGCGGCCTGGGCGACTTTGTGCGGATAATCTGGATGGTTGGAATGCCCTGAATGGTTGGCAAGTGGCATATCTTGGAACCCGAAAGCCTAGAGTGTAGATTAGTTTTCGGTTTGCACGCAAGCCTGCCAGGATGTGGGTTCCCGGGATGGATTGCTGCTGGCCAGTGGTGCAGCCTCCCAACCGGGCAAGGACCGTTCCCAGTCCATTAGCTGCTTCAGTGTTTCAGCTTTGGAAGCTATGCGAGCTGAACAATCTCTTGGGAAGCTAGGATCAGGCAATATCAGGAAGGCTGATGCATGTGAAGCTTGGCTATCCGGCTATGCCTGGTACTGGCCTGGATGTTTTTGGTGGTCAATTCAGGGAAAATCAGTTGACAAGATCTCTGGGCCGCTGGGTTCACCAGAAGGCTCTTGCGCCCGAGGAGCCCTTGGCAGCAGTGGCTGTGGCCCGGCAAGCCAGGAGCGAGCAGCAAGCAACCTGTTTGGATTGGGGAGCCTTGGAGGGGGCAATGGATAGACTCCCTTTCCGGGCTCGAAGCTTTTGAATTCCCGTTGTTGAGCTTCTGGCTCGACTCGTCAATGCCTGGCGGGATATTTGTGAGGATGCCATGACATGCTCTTCTCCTCCGCGGTTGGTTTGATGTCTGGAAGTTGCATTATTATTCCTTTTCATGTTTGAACAAGAACGAGGATCACTGATGAGAGAGCGGAATCCATCCAATATGTATGTGTATCTATATCTAAAGATATAGATAAATATTAATATATGTGAATGCAACACACGCTCTTCCCATGCCATGGCATTCTTTTCATTTGTTACGTTGGGTGCGGAAGGGGCAGGTTGACACATGCTAGGCACATCTATACGCATGTCTGTGCACCATAAATACGTCATATACGCATTTAATATATAGCGCACCTATATACATGTGTATACAGTATACATATGCGCATGCAGATCACAGGTATATGCACACACGTGGACCTTGCTTTTTCCCCCAATGCAGACATGTGCACCCAGTGCACCCACCGTTTTTCATGGAGTTTCTCGGGACCGCAGGAGCCTCAGCTCCTGCGCCTCGCTGCCTGCGAGTGTCTTGCGGGACGTGCAGCATGTGGCGCTGGTGCATCGGCGCGCCAGCCATGTGCGGATGGGTTGGAAGGACGCGGCAGACGGGTCTGTCTTAAACTCTTCAGAGGGTTAATCAGGCTTAAGTGAGGAGAATTCTGCAATGGGTTTGTCTTGAAGTTAAGTCAGGATTTCTCAGCCCAGGAGTGGTGGGACCGCGGGAGCAAAAATATCGCCTTTTTTGGGAAACGTTCCCTTTTACTCCGCATTGGCGAATCAAAGGTTTCACCAAACCGACCAAAAAGGACGCAGAAAAAGACGGCCTTGTGTTTTCTTACATTGGCTGGTGGAAGAACAGAGAGGCCGACCAAACAAATGCCTCCCAAAAAGAATGGTTGGAGGGTGTTAGGTGCCCGCTGTAGATAAGAAAGTATTCTGATTGCGAGAATGTTTGGTTGTGTGTATATTATACATAATATGTGTATATATTATATACATATACGCACACAGTCGCTGACGCCGACAGCAGTGGTCCATGCTGCGGCGCATCGGCATTGTTTCTGCATTTTTGTTGCACATGGTGGCAACCGATCTGCCACAGTTTCTCTGTTTGCAAGCACCATACCCGTGATAAAAGATGTTTCACGGCAAGGTGTGCGCAATAGTGCAGTTCTTGTTGAGTTCAACTCTTAGTTGGGATGCCGTCAAATTGTTTCAAAAATAAACACACCTGGAAGTTTAAGGGTCAGGCGTGATAGGCCAGGACAAGGATGCCGACAATGCTGCATCCTGATCCGTCTCCATGATGGTTTGTTTGACTAAAATATTCTATCTCATGCGCCTCGTGCCAGGGGCGTTTGGAGGCAGGGTGCGATGGAATGATGCTGCTGATAGCGTTGTCCGCATTGGGGTGCTTTTAGAAATTTTAGAGGCCGTACAAATGGCTGGTCGACTTTTGTGGTTTACTGAACGCATTCCCAATTTCAGGGAATTGCGCGCCTTCACGCTTTGGCTTTACCTGTGCAGATGCTTGCACATCTCCACCGTTACCAAGTACAGCGATTTCCACGTTTGGTTGGAGGCCAGAGATCGCATTCACTGCGCTCATTTTGAGAGTCATGCTCGTACCTTCGTATCCTCATGGTGGGCAAAGGGTGTAGCCGTTTGGCACCGAGTCAAACCTAAGCATGCAGACTCGAACACGTCAACGACTCAAAAGCATCACAGTCATCACAGATTTCATCAGTTGTTGCAACTCGGTTCGCTTTCTCGCCGTATCAGAAGCGCCCAACAACAGCTGGCAGGCAAAACCGAGGTCTTGCTGTTGGATCCCTGCATGTTCAAGCCATTTATCGCGAGGCAACGAGGAAGCTTTAATAAAGGTGCCCTCCAACCAATTTTTGGTCCAGACTTGCAAAGTAACGCGCCATTCTCTTGAAACACTGAATTTTGTTCGGACCGAGCGCATCCCCGAGAGCATCCCACTACCAACTCTGTGGCATTCGTCTCAGGCAGGGGACGGCTCTGGAGTTCGCGTGCAGGGCAGCAAGGCGCTTTTGCCAGAGAACAACCCGAGAGAGAACGGGTTCGATTGTTCAGCGCAACCCAGGGTAGACTCCACCCTGAACAACCAGCAAACCCCAAATCAGGAGGAAAAAAGGGGCAAATAAACCTCAAGTAAGGCTGCTGCTTTGAAGACTGGGGCTTTGTGGGGGAAACCTTTGACTTTTGCCCCTGCCAGGCAACTGCGGGTTCGGCTTTTCTGCCAACAAGGGGGGGGGGTGTAGGTAGCCAAGTGCTGGAGGGCATGTCCCCCTTTTCCCCGTTGAAAGTGCAACAAATCCCAACCTGCAGTTCAACTGGGAAGCTGGCCTTTGGGTCCCAGCTTGTGTCATGCAGGTCTTCCTACGGCAGGGTTGGCTCGGCGACGAGGAGGCAGGAGAATTGCATGTGTTGAGTCGTTTTGCAGGGGACTATCACTATCTTTCAAAACAGGTCGTGAGGCCAATTGATTCACACATGGCCATTTTGTGAACACTCTCAAGAGCTCATTGGGAGGATCCCTGAAAGATTCGGGGAGTACGGGACCCCATTTTGCTAGTGGTCAAATCGCTGCACTCCAGGCTGTGGAGTCCGTAGAAGACTTTGGGCTCAACAGCTCTACCGCGGAGAACTCAGCGAATCACTCGTTTCCCAGGCACTGCCCAAAATGTTTAATGTCTCGCAAAGGACACCAGAAGGGGATGGATCGACTTTATGTTTCCCAGTGCCCTATGTTCAGCACCAAGCACTGCTTTGGAGGTGTTGGAGGCAGTTGAAACACATGGCTGTCAGTAGGCTCGCCGTTTTGGGGAGCCAAACAATTTCATTTTGCAGCCACGCAAAGAAAAAACACCCAGCATTTGGACTTATTTGGACTTCAAGCCTTTTGGTTGTGCTTTTGGCCCTGCCCAGAAGCTCTGCACAAATTGCAAGGCGGTAAGGGCAAGGCCCATTTTTGAGAGAAAACTGTCAGCTGCGGGTTGCGAGGCCGTGTCTCCGACTGCATATTTTGACATTGTCCTGAACGGTTGAGTTTCACCATCTTGCAATGTCTCACTTGTGTACAAATCCTTCGCTCCTGGCATGTCAGCTGCTTCTGGTTTTATTTGGTCGCTTAAAGTACCTTGGTATTTGATGGGTGCCCCACGCAAATGAGAAACACGATCAACCACAAAGGAAAATGGCTCCTCTTTCTCTTCCTATCGGATCACTGGTTGCAACTGGCGTTAAGAGGAGCAGACTTTTGCCGCGAGCTGGGGGCCTCTGGCTGTGACGCCAAGTCTCAGACTTGGCCTGCGTTATGTTTGCTGCCCCATGCAGCGTTGCCAGGGTAATATTTTTCGCTGAAAATGCGCCGTAGCTTGCAGAGTTAAACTTTGGGATATGCCATGGATGGTTGAATACGATTTCGGGCACACGTGTTTTGCTGACTTGAGAGTGAACACAGGGCGCGCCAAGTGGGACATCCCCTGTATCTTTGTTGTTGAGTTGACAAAAGCTTTGAACTTTGTCTTGGAGGCTTCTTCATCTTGCGGCCCAACAAGTCATCACTTTCTCCGCTTGGAATCCGAAACCTCGCAGGTGCCCAATATGATCAGCGAGCACTTGTCCGCCTCGCAGATGCCGAGGACCCGCGGGTGCTCTCCAGTGGTGCTGTGATTGAGCAGCCTTATGCTTTCGGCATGCCGCAACAAGAAGGCCACTGGCCGGTAAGGAAATGAAGCGCGAGTGGCCTAAGGCAGGTCCCTTGAATTGAAAGGGCAAACTTCAAACCGCTTTGAAGCATAAGCCCAAGGAGTATCCCGGCAAACCCTGGTTTGGCTGCGGCTGAAACCCTACCATAGCTGTCGCTGTTGGGCAAGAAAGAGCTTGAGATGATTGGGATTCCTCGGTTGCAGAGCTTGTCCAAGATGGTACGCTTCCGCAACCCGCATTGCAAGCTTGGGTACTTGCCGAGACGCGTCAAACACGACGGGGCCCGTGAATTGGCTGACTCTGTCCAAGAAGCGACTGCAGTTGAGTTCGGGGACGCCCAAAGTGCACAAATGTGCAGAAGAGTCAGAAGAGTTTAGGTAGTTTTGGCATTTTCCCACTTCCCGAGTTCTGAACAAAGGTTTGGACTTTCCTTTGGCCAGTCCTGTGGTCGTAGTGGTTAAGCCTGCGAGGCATCGAATGAAGCCTACCTTTCCCATTGCCGTATCCTCCAGGCCGTGCACTGGCGGCAGACGACTAGACATAAAGAAGGTGAAGCAGATGCCGGCAGCTCATTGCACACTCAGATTCTGATGTTCAGCACGCCAGCTTTGGATGGCCAGTAAATTCATACACTGGAGCAAAAGTGACAGAAACCAGCCATGGAATGGCCCTGCTTTACGGTTTCCCTTGACAAAAAGTCGATTGCTGAAAAAGCAGAGATTGGCCCCAGCAGGTTGCCTAGTATGCCTGCGGATGACTTGACCCATCCTTTTTCAGCTCAGCACTTTTTCACCCCGCCGACGCATGGTTAGGCCGTAAGGCCTGCGAGGGTTCTCAGAGCTGAAAATGGGAGAGATAGCCAGAAGTGTGCTGCAATGAGACTATGCATCTTCAATCTGAAGAACATGCACCCAAACTGCACGCCTACGTGAGGTCTGTGGGTGTGATGCACGCCGCCTTCTTGACAGAGGCAGAAATTGCATATGCAATCTGCAGCGTGGTGGTAAGGATATTTGCCATTTGCACGGATGTTGCACACAAGAACCTGCAAAGAACATGTTTAACAGTTGTTCTCAAGACAACCCGCGACATCATGACACATCCCTCAGACACGTGCTGTTTGCTGTTTCGCAGGATGGTGAGGTCTACTGTCTCGGCCGGAATTCCTGCGGGGAGTGCCCTGGCCTGATGTGGCAGAGGCAAGTGCGGCATTTAGGGGCCCTTCCCAATGATGTCTTTTCCATCTGCAGACCTATTTCGAGGTTTCATCCTTAGGGTCCGCACGGGGCCCACACGTTCGCCGCGCAGCAAAGCGTTTGTTTGGGCAGGGTGCGCCCCGAGGTGTGCAGTGGATCCTGCTGTGCAGAATGTGGCAGCTTCCTGCCGCAAGGCGAGCCTGTCATGGGGCAAGTTCAGGGTTGAACCAGAAGGGAAACCGCTCTTAGGGATATGGTGTTTGAATCCATGAGTTTTGGACACCCCAAGCTTTCAAGAGATTGCTTTGGTTCAAGCTTGGCTCAAGGCTTTGATGCCTTTGCCAGGAGTCATCACCAGCACGATCGAACATGCCCACGACCTGGTTTTCAGAACTTGTTTCAGCCATAAACCAAATGCAGTGCTCGGTTAGCGACAAGACAAATAAGTTTCATCACCTTGTGCGCTGCGCGCGCTGCACGACAGGCGCTGAGAGACAAGCTTGGCACCAGCTCCAGGAACTGACACTCCGGGGCCATGGCGGTGAAGCACACGGTCTACGACCCCCGACAGCTTCAGCTGGCCACTTCCGGTTTCTTCGACTTCCCCGCGCATTCGCAGACCGCGCCGCCCTCGCGGGCCGGGCGCGGGGCAGCCGTGGCAAACCGCCCGGGCACGTCGCTCACCGCGGCTGAGCCCCTACACCCCATCCCCGAGACTGAGAGGAGCAGGGTAAAGCAGGGTGCAATATTTGTTTAAATTGCGGACCGCCGGCCCCCTTTAAAGGGAAACCAACATGAGGTTTGTTGAACCGCTATTGGTTTGCACATGTTTAAGCAAGGGGCCGGCCCGATGAGGAGCGAAGCGCCATCCGCGCGCGGCGAGCTCCAGGTTTTAGGGGCCCGAGAGCCGTGGCGGTCCCCGGCGGTGGCGCGCTTTGCCTCCGGCTTGGAGGAGAGGCAACCTGTTGTTTATCATGTTTAAGCTTAAGCCACTGAGGGGTTAGCTGCTGTAAACATATATATATATATTTATATTTCTATATATATATATGTATGTGTATATATATATATATATGTTATACATATTATTTGGTCAACATTTGAGGATGGGAAGTTGGACGCGATGGTGCTGCAAGGCCCCCGTGGCACAGCTTTGCGTGCAGCGGGGGAGGCACACGACCACCAGGTGGCGTCAAAAGCCGTGGCTGAAATTGAGACCCAGAGGCAGCAGATTGCGCAGGGCCCCTCTGTCGACTTGGCCGAGCTCAAGAGTTTCAATAGGGCTCGCCGGAACGCCGTCCCTCGATCAGAGGACTTGACTCTGGCAAAGCCCAGCGCACGAGGCCCGCTTGCTTTTGGAGCTGTCTACGAGTACCGAGACTCCTGTGGCACCGCCAAAGTTGTTGCGTCCACCGCTTCGGTACCCGAGAAGCAGTTTGCCCTGGATCAGAGACACTACGAGCATGCCCTGTCCAAGCAAGCAGATCCCCACTTGGTGTGGGTTGGCGTCTCTGGAGGAAGGCCCACCCAGTTTGGAGGTTTGGGTTTGCTGCACTGTTTGGGAAGTTTCCCGGGCGTCCAGTGTTGAACAACCGCAGGTCCCCTTTCAGGGGCTACTTGAAGTCTTGCAAAAAAAGTGGGGACTTGAAGGGGTTCAGAGCCGATGCCCATGTGACCTTTCTTTGATGCAGAATGTCCAGATGAACAGATGATAACATTTCTCTGTCTTGTTTGTCCTTGCGAGGTTCTGTCGAACTATCCAGTAGTCAAGGTCAATTTGTCAGCGATATGGGATGATATGGGGCACTCGCTCAGTTTCCCACCACAAGTCATTTTTTTTCTTGGCCTTTTCACGAACCGCACAATTTGACAGTGGCTTATCAGGGTGTAAGTTTTCTTTGAGGGGAAAGCTGCTTTGGTTGGTTTAAAGGCAAACAAACAGGGAACGGGCCATATGTGGACTTTAAACGGACTGAGCCACCCTCGAAACACCCAGGTAGTTTAAGTTTGAGTGGCAACCCGTCCCGACCAAAATCAGGTGCGACCGCCTTCTTTACAGTCTTTACATGACCTCTTTACCCGGCTTGGATGACTTGTCAACCCCCGACCCCCGACCCCCGACCCCCGGGCACCTGGGCCTCGCCTGAGGGGCGGCCTGGATGAGGCGGAGATGGCCCAGGTGCGGCGCGCCGTGGTGCAGCAGCGCGCGGAGCGGCTGGGCGCGCGGAAGCTGGCGGACATCAAGCCGTACTCCCGCGCCCTGTCGCCGGATGTCAGCGTCTATGGATTGGTTTGGAGGTTGGGGGACCTCCCCTTTTGGCATACTTTAGTTTTAAGTTCAAAGTTCTATCTATCAAAAGCATCCAGTATCATCCAGTGTACAGACTATTTGGGGAAAGTCTTGAAATTGCAAGATTTTCCACACAGACCGGGGGACTCACTCATTTTCCCATGGCCCACGTGCTTGCGATTCGGTAATTGCATGTACTGACCCCGCGGCTGGCAAGGGATGCTTGGGGACCCTTTGCTAGGGTACTAGACAACATAACTTCTCCTAGGGAACTATGACCATGGCCCAGATAGAGAGTTTTGACCATGGCATACATGGGGGCGGGGCTTTCAACGACACTTGTGTCAAACCGCAGCGAAAAGATGGCCTTTCATGATGCCCTGGGCCCTGCTATCCAACTGATGACTTTGTGACCGCCTGTTCGAATTGCAGAGAGCCCTACCGTTTTGGACACTCGCCGCGTCTTGGGCTTTCCAGTGGCCATCTTCCTCAGCCCGTGGGGGCACACTACCTTTCCAGCAAAACCAGCAGATACCTGGACGAGGCCTTGCTTTGATGTGGGGGGTGGGTTGCGGCTAAAAGAGTTTGAGCCGTCTCCGGCGGGATCCCCTGAGATGGTTACCATTTTGTTTGGCTTAGTGAAGGGTGTAAGGACTGGATCCAAACAACGACATCGGCCTGAGGGGTACGGCAAGCCCCAGCAGTTTCCTTTGGACCAAAGCGGGGCCGATTTGGAGGGTGATCAAAGTACAGTGTCCAGCATGGCTGAGTACATCTGATAATATGTTCATGATTGAGGGAAGCGGGAAGCTGCAAGTCCGGCAATTCAGAGGAGGTTGCCTCGTTGTGCCCTGCTTGCTGCCAGCTAAGGCCATGGCTGACGTCTCGGCAAAGCCGAGCTTAGTGCCAGCCTGCGGGCAAAAGAAACGCCGCGCTCCAGATGAAGTTTACGGCACAAGAACTTGGGAGGTTTGTCAAACATGGGGAGCTGTTCTTTGCGACATCATGGTGACTACCTTTCGAAAGGGTCTAAAGAGGGGTCCACCATTTCGACCTCCACCTTATAGCTCCGAAGTGAGCAGACGATTTGTTTGTCACTCAATAAGTCTTTTGTGGCAAAGTGCAGCATAATATGTCAAATAGTCGTCGCTAATTTCTTTGCAGGATGTGCTAGTTTTTGCGATGTGCTCATATTGGTACATAGCATGTGGGCATCTTGCAAGACTACCCTTTATCGTACTCTTGGCATGTAGGGAACCTTTTCAGTGGAATCTCAAAACAGCCCTACAGCACGCATCTAATTTTGAATGCTTGCATGATATCGTTATAGACGCCTGGGCCTTTTAGACAAGGATCTTCCCAACAACTTTGCAGGAGTTTGATCAAATGTCCGGAGATGTTCACAGGATGTGCATTGGCACTCACGTTGGATTTCCCTCGCAAGGCTTGCTCTACGCAAGGGCAAGCCGCTGGCGGCTGCTAGCAGGTTGAAAGGAGAATTCTTGAAACAAAGCTCCCACAGCCTCCCCTGACAATTGCACAGGCATTCTCTTCAACCTGCATTTGTTTTGTCAGGAAATGATTTCCAGCTTTTCGGCGGTCTTTAAACAACGTGTTTTTATAGGTGAGTCCTTGTGATAGTGCAGAGCGCTTTCCAATTTTCTGCGAACAGACCTCTTGGACTCCGGGCACTTGCTTTGCACAGATACCCTGGGAAAACTCACCAAGGATGCCTCAATAGTTTGGGCAGGATTTGTTTTGTCAAAATACGGCTCCGCCAATTGGGTATCTCCAAGACCTTGAGCACTGCTCCGAAATCCAGCTTATTGAAATGCATCCCCAACATGTTGTAGACATGTCCACGAGCTTTTGCCTATTCCAAAGCATTATTTGGACAAGCTGAATGTCAACGTCCACATTTAGTAGCAAACATGAGCATGCAAACAGGTCAACACTTGGCACACTCGATAACATGTTTACGTGTTTACATATTTGCCCGAATCCGTATTCATTTAGAAAAACATATTAAGCATTTGTATGTGTACTACATAAACACACCTGCTCCAATACGTTTGCTTGCGATCGCTTTGGGTCGATGGCTGCCTTCCGCTCGGTCGCAGGTGAGCTTCCCCAAGCACAGCCATCCGATTCGACGAGCCTCGGCGGATGCTTTCTGAGATTCCTGTTGATTCCCACATGTTGCAGGCATGGTTTGTTTCGGTGACAGCACTCTGGCGTGTAATTCTGTCGCAAGGGGCTGCGCCCTGTCTAGATCATGTTGTTGCAGGGACACCAACATGAGTTGCGAACCAGTTGGAGGGTCCGTGTGTTTGTCACATACGCTGTTGGAATGATGGCGAAGGGAACCAGGATTCATCAAGGACTAGCGGCTTTGACCTTTCCCAGGGCTCCCCATGCGGCTCTGGTTGGTTGATAGCACGAGTGCGCGCATGGCCGGATGAATCCACGAGGAGTGGAATGCGGACGTTCTCACACGGCATGTGGCTCAGATCGGTGATTGGATGGGCGCAGTCTTCAGGTGGAATGGCAAATGTTGTAGAGAGTTGGTCCATTTCTTGTGGCCTCCTATTCTGTTTTCATTTCCATGCGTTCAAATTGAGGCTTAACTAATTAAGCAACAGGCACCGGCTTGTGCCAAGGTGGCCGTGGGTGCTGATGGGCAGTGCTTTGCTTGGGGCGACGACTCAAAGGCGGGGACAGCGCGAGCATGTGCTTGAAGTATTTGGGTGAAGTATTTGGGTTGGGCTCTTACTCATTGAAAATGCGAAGCAAAGACGTGGTTCAGACAATCTGCTTTGGTTTCCAGAATTCAACAAGGCCAGATCTTGCAGGTTTTCTGGCATGTTTTCACAGATGTTGAGAAAGAGAGTGGGCGCGGGCAGCAAATGCCCAGGTGCACATGTAGGCAGATTGTAGAGACCTACAGATCACAAGAGGTTTGCAAACTTGACCCGTGACGGAGTCTCCACTCATTTCAGTTTCGCGCATCATCACACTTCATCCAGACGTACATAAACAGATTTGGGCCATTCGAGGTGGAGAGGGGTGAATATGAAGATCTGATTGCGGTCCATAACGCTTTTGGGTGCCTCAGCTGAGTGCCCACCGCTCGTCACCGCTGCGCCCGTCAGATCCAGTTGGGCCTGGGCGACACGCGGTCCAACGTGGGCGAGGAGCGGCCTTTCTCCGGCTCCCGAGGCTTCCTCAACACGCAGAAGACCGGGCAGGCGCGAGCCAAGAGCCACTCCCAGTTGCAAGTTTGTTGTGTTTTCCGGTGTTAAAAAGAATTAATCACTACTTTTTGGTTGTTGTATTCTTCTGGTGTTAAAGGACATCGATCACTACTGGAAATATTCTGGTTTTAAAGGGGAATCTGTCACTATCTGAAGTATTTCTATTTGTTTTTCCGACTGTTCAAACAGGTTATGACGTTAGCCACACGCGAGAAACCAGGGCACCACAATTCCTTGTGTGTTTCTGTTAATGTTGGAACATGTGGAGACATGAACTGTGTGTGGAATGCTCTCGCGGCGTTTTGCTAGTTGCACCATCAGAGCATGCAAGCATGAAAGCAACGGGTTGAAGGGTGGTTGGCTCAAACAGCGGCTCAAACCATTGCACCATGGAAAGGATATCAACCCAATTTCAGTTGCGCCCCCCATACACGAGGCTATGGGATCGCATCCCGAGGGTCCTATGGGACACCTTGGCGGACGAATCCTTCTCCCCGAGGCAGACGGACGGGGTGCCTACGGGAAGGCACCAAAGAAGAAAAGCAAAGGTTCGGTGGAGAGCCGTCCATTCGCTTCGCGCGGATCCTGGAGGACTCAGGCATCGCAGTGGAAGAAAACTCCTACATGGTCCCTGCGGGCTACTTCAACCGCCTGGTGGCAGCGGCGGCAGGCAGACTCCCCCAACCTCTGTCGGCGGAGGATCTGGCTGACCTGTGGGACAACATATGGTTCCTCCTCCTGGCTGCATCGGACGGGAAGCCGGTTCTCCCTGCTTGAGACGCTCTGGGACCAACAGGACCAACTGAGGTACTCGCGTGATGACCCGCCTCCTCTTCAACCGGAATTTCTGAAGTGGAGGCATTGGCGGCCGGGTAAGGTAAGGGAAATGGAGCCCACGACCCAGCGGGCGCTGGAGCTCCATCTTCGTGGGAAGTGGGCAGAGCGCCTGCTCGCCCACCTTGCCCCATTTGCGGAGCACATCAGCTACATGCAGGACATTCTTGGGGACTTCCGCAAAGAGGCCTTGGACCTCCTTGGGGACAGCAGGTTCCGGCACTGCGGCAACACTGCCTTTTATGAGAGTCTCCGGAAGAGAGGGTTCACGGTTATCCCGTGGCAGGAAAGGCATGTACGTTCCCTCCTCAACCAGCGCGCGGAAGAGGAGGTCACCCCCTACAAACTGCGGCAGGTCAAAAATACTCTCAAGTGGTACTCCAAGACATTTGGCATGTTGAAGATCGACGAGCTCCATCGCCTCAAGTCCAAGAAAAGCGCGCTGGAAGAGGCGCTCGCGGACACGGTCGCCCGCCCGCAGCGCAAGGCGGTGGTTCCCAGCAAGGGGGTCATCTGGGCCCGGAGGAAGGGGCGGGCTACGAGCGCCAGGCATGAGCTGCTTGACTCTCTTATGCTGGGGTTCGCCCGGTTCAACAACCTCCAGCACGTCCACCCGAAGGACCTGGCCCACACTAGCAACACTGTGGAGCTGAAGGCCTGGCAGACCAAGACGGTCTCTGCGGCAATGCGGCGAGAATTAATTGCAATCCGGTCCCACTGATCGCTCCTAAGTACAGCTTCACGGGTATCCCTTGGTGGTCTTCCTTTGTGGCCACAGTCCTGGCGATTGACAGCCGAGAAGGGTGAGCAAGGATTACCTTCGATGCTCTCCACCGCCAAGGGGTCGCCCAGGAATTGGTGAACCGCTGTCATGGCACTCATTCCGGGTGTTCATCCCGGACTGCACGCTCCAGCTGGGGGTTTTCGCCGCCTTAGGTAACTGGCTCACTGAAACACAGCCAACCTGAACCTCGGGCCAGGCTTCCCGGAGGACTGGCTTCTGGAGCCCGGGAGGTTATTCCGACTCCGCACAAGACTTGAGAAACTGAGGTTGTGGCCCTACTTACAGAAGTCCAGGTGCCCTAGACTGTCGTGAACATCTAGGGGAAGATGAGTCCCTGGCACCAACACAATGCTTGGATAAAAGAGTTATCATACACTTTGTTCATGTTGGAACATGTGGAGACATGTGTGTGTGGAATGCTTGACCACAAAGGCATTGGCAATTTTGGCTCAAGCATTGATTGGGGTTCCTGGAACCCTTTTTCTGATCTTGAAACTCACCCACCCACACCTAGGTAGGATCTTGATGGCGATGCCTGCCAGACCCCCGGAGGAGATTCCAGCGGACCTGAAGGCGGATGTGGCGAAGTTGCAAAAGCCACTCTTGGCCATCCTGGTGGGCAAGGAAGTTGCTTGGGCCGTCCAGGCAGCATTGGGTGCGTCGGGGTACGTCACGGTGGAAGACCTGGCGGATCGCTGGAACACCCCGGCAGAGCCCGGGACCTGGAATTTCAATGCCCAGACTTCGGCCTTCACAGCTACGTGCTTGCTGCAAGCGGTCCGGGTGGCAACGTGGCAACCAAGGCGGGGCACGGCTGGCCCGGCCAAGGCGAGGTCCTGTGCGACAGGCGCCAGCTCGAGGACGCCTTTGTGGCCACGCACGGGGGCCCAAAGCCGAGGTTGGAATTCCAAGGCAGCGATGGCTACCTCAAGAAGCAATGGCGTCCACCCACAAGAAAGTCACGGTGGACGGCTGGGACAGGGAGGACGAGGAAGAGGTGCACCTCACCTTCCGGACAACACTCTTGATGTGCACGGCAGCCCTGCCACAGTTTGGCAATTCAAGTCACCAAGGATGAGTTGGATGACTGGTATGCCTGGTTCTAGGGTGAAGACATAGCTGGCAGGAAGCCCCCCCCGAGCGACACGATGGTGCACCAGGGCACCACTCTTTCGGAGGCACTCCGCGGCTATCCTGATGGAGTTGGTCCACTCCACACCCAGGGCTGCTCCCTGGCGGCCAATCACGTGCCGCGCAAGTTCAACCAGATGGGCTTTGCTCAGTCCCCAAACAGGAACTCTGCGCAAATTTTACCATTCTTCCGCGTCTCCTGAATGGAGAGGCCTTTGACCTCAGTGTGGGCCCACCCAGGCTCACGTGACCGGAGCCGGTGGGACTCACTTCCCCTGGTGGCAGACCCGCTTAGCCCTCGGGCGCTATCAGTCTGCACACCCATTCTTTTGGATTTGAAAGTTTGTGGTGGGTGGGCCCCATGACCCAGCCGTGATTGTCTGACAGGGGAAGATGAGTCCCTAGCACCAACACAATGCTTGGATAAAAGAGTTATCGCTTGCTTTGTGGGGTGCCGTTTGGTTAGCTTACATACACTGCTTGTTAAATTCAGACGGGCAGGAATTTCTTGTTGGCCATGGTCACATGCCGTGCGGCATGCATCAATGAGCAAGCATATTTTTTGCAAAGCGTTGTATGCACCTCTTGCTGAAAACATGTGCATCAAGAGTTGTATTGAGGGTAGCAGTGAGACTTGGTTGCACTGCAAAGCATTAAGAGTTGCACGCAATATTTGCATCAATCACCTGCAATGCATTTGTTGCCACCGCCTCTCCCTGCTCAGCCTATGGCTACGCAAAGCTTCCTGCGTGGTGGGCCAGAGTTCACCGGCTCGCGGGTGCGCCGCGCCAAGCTTTGCAGTTGCGTCGGCCCAGGGAAAGGTGTTCACGTTGGGGAACCACTCACTCACCCGGGGGTAAACGGGCACACCAGCTCATCCATGAAGAAGTCTCCCTTTGGGGTGGGGGGGGTGGGGGGGGTGGGGGGGTGGGGATTGTTGTAGCTCGCGCAGGCTTGCATGGCAGCAGTTTCCCTACAATCAGAAAGATTGTGCATGTTTGTTCCGGACACATCCCCTGTCGGTAGGCCTGCGGCGGCCGGTGCCTTCGGCTCAAACAAGGCTTGACATTGGCATCGCAACATTCGGAGCCACAGTGCCACATGACAACTCTGACACTCATTTTGCTTGACAGTGCTTTGCCAGGCTTTGAGCACTTATTGACACGGAATATCAAAGTCCAACGCAGAGTTCGCGATTCGCGCCTGCGCGAAAATGACTCGCGCGTGCCGCTCCCTGCGCTTATTAACTTTTCCGGTCGCGCTCATCGCGTTCGAGTATGCTTGCCGTATTGCGCGGCCACTGCCGCACACGTTTGCACCAAGCGCCTTTCGGAGGGTGTTGCTGGGTGCTGCATTCGGCTCTGCAGCCAGAGGGCAAGAAGCACGAGCCCAATTCCCCTTCTTCGGGGCGGATATTCCCGCTCCCCCGGACGTGGGAGCGGTGCCGGCGGACGCCCAGGTGACCCCCAGCGGGCTGGCATTCAAGGTGTTGCAGCTGCCCGCCTGCGAGTCGGAAGCCGAGTGCAAAGCCGAGAGGCCCCAGAAATTTGACAAGGTCACCGTGGACTACACGGGCTGGCAGCGGGATGGCCGCATGTTCGACTCCAGCGTGAAGCGTGGCCAGAAGGCAACCTTCGGAGTGAGCCAGGTCATCAAAGGCAGGATGATGTGTCAAGCAAACGCATCATTACTAATTTGTTCGGACACTCGTCAGTCACTGTCGTACTCACACTTCCAGGCTTTCCAGCAGCAGGGGATGGCGGGCCCAAAAGCAGTAGATGGCGGCGAGTGAAAGACCCGAAACGGTCGAAAAGACCCGAAACAGTCGAGCGCCGGAACACTTTGCCAATTGCATCCCTTCAGGTTTCCTGTCAAGCCTTGCCTGTGAGGCTGGACGGAAGGTCTGCAGCTCATGGCACCCGGGGAGAAGCGCCGCTTTTGGATCCCCGCAGCGCTGGCCTATGGGGAAAACCCCGGGGGTGGCCGGCGGCTTCTCTTGTTTAGAGTCGGTGAGGTTGTCCTGGAGTCTTCGTGGTTTTCCGAACTGCTGGCTTTCAGGCGGATTCTTGAAGAATCTGGCAACTCCATTTGACGTCTGGGGATCAAGCAGAAAACAGAAAGCAAACAATAGGGGGAAAACACACATCTCGTTATTCAGGAATGGACCTACTTGCAATGGTCAATGAGTTTGTGAAATCTAGCGAGTTAAGCTATGATCGTGTCTCAGTGGTTGAGAAGGTCGTGTTTCAGCTGCTACTCGCACCCTTTTGCCCCTTTTGGGATGGCTGAGGGTCGCAGTTAAGAAGGTCGTGTTTGGAGTTGCTATTTTTTGTGGGGTGGTTTAAAGGGTGCTAAGCGCTTTAGTGTCGAGGATTTTGTTCCCCACTTCATTTGGGTGTTAAAGGGGATTTCAAAGGGAAGCCACCAATTTTGAGGGTCTCCAAGTTTTGAGCGGGAAAGAAACTCGGCGCCTCCAAAAGTAGGTGACCCATTTGGACAAAACAACATGGTTGGTTTACGTTTGGCTTTCCTCTGAGCTTTGCTCACAGAGGGATACCCAATTTTGGACCTCTTATGGCGATGAAGTTCAATGGTTGGAACATCATCCTCAAAAGTTGGGGGACATAAAGTTCCGTGTAGATAGTGCCCAACAACGGGTGTAGCATGAAACATTATACTCGTTACGCATACTATATCTCGCATTCATCTTGCCCAGCTTTGTTGCACTTTACATACCGCAAAGAAATAAGACACCCTCTTTCCGGCAATCATGGCGATGGATGTTAGTCTTCCAACACCCTCCGCAGTGCACTTCCAAAAAAAGAGGGCAATGGCGATGGTATCGGACTGAAATCAGTGTAGCTCTTTTTCCTTTCCCAACATCCCACTACGACTCCCACGCCCTTTCGTTTGCTTGCCCTACCAACGCAAAGCCCTGTCACTGAAATCCTCGAAATTTAGCCAAGGCGCAGGGATTACACCAAGATCCCCAACCAGAACAGAAATGGGATGGAGCCAGGGGTTGATCCAGGGCTGGACGTGGATTGGACGGAGACTGTTTGTCTCACCAAGGCCTGGAGGGCTTTTGGTCTTCGACGTGGAGTTGTACTCCGTGGACCAAGGCCCACGCGTGCCCACCCCCGAGGACGTCCAGGCGCCGCCCGAAACCGCGGAGCGCACGGCCTCGGGCATCGCCAGCCGCGTGCTGAAGCCCGGGGTGGGGAAGCAGACGCCCGGCAAAGCTGGCGGTTTGACGCATTTTGTTGGGGTGTTGGGTGGGTTTGCTTTGGAAGTCCTGTCGATTTCAGAGTGTCTTGAGAGTTTCTTTCGACTTTTTCCAGGTTTCTTGGTCTTTTACTTTGGGTTGCCCTTAGGTTTATCCTTTCAGGAAGAGTGCTAGTTGCAGCCGCCATCTTCTTGGCTCCCTTCCTGCCAAAAGACCATCATGGTCAACCCCTGGCCCCCCCACAAAAGCATTGCCTTTGGAACCTTGAGCTCGACGCCCTCGTCGTCCTCGTCGGTCTTCGATCGATAGGAACCCCAGCAAGACCTCCATCGTCACAGTGGACTACTCGGGCTGGACCTCCAACGGCCAACTCTTCGACTCCTCGGTGATCCGTGGCGCGCCGGCCACGTTCCGCCTGGACCAAGTCATCCCCGGCTGGACCGAGGGTGTGCAGTTGATGGTCGAAGGGGAGAAGCAACTTGGCAGAGGAAGGATTTGTAGGACATATCCGTCTGATTCTGGTTTTTGCTGGTTTTACTTTGGTTTCCCAAATCGAACGCCTATTTTGACAACGGCCCCGCTCCGCAGTGAGAGGCGCCGCTTTTGGATCCCACCGAACTTGGGGTATGGCGACAAGCCCGAGGGTGGGAGACCCGCCGGCACCTTGGTGTTCGACGTGACCTTGTATGGAATCCAATGAAAGCATGAGTTGGTCTTAACATTTGCCAACCACCAAAATGAGTGGTTCTTTTTCGACCACAAAAAGGGGCACCGTCAAGCACCCTTATGTTTACTCGGTAGGTAAGATGTTGATGACAAGGGTGCCCATTGCTTTGGGCTCCTTCTGCCCTTGAATGCGCTTGATTGCTGCAAATTGTGGTCTAACCATCACCACACAACAAAGGCTGAATGATACAGACACACGCACATTGTTCTCAGGATCATGACTTAGCTTGGTTTTAAAGTCCCCCACAATGGACACAACCCGATTCGAATTGTTTAGGCCCTTATAGCAAGCAGGGCACCCATTTGCAAAGGGCACTCCTGACACCAATTTAAGCTGGCACCGAGCTGGGCAAGTGGAAAAGAGCTGCTGAAAGCTTGGAAAGAAGGACCGCTCCGCCTCAGGAAGACATGCTATGATTGTATTGGTACAGGGCAGCGAAAGTGTTTCAGGAAATGTTAGAGCTAAGGTGACTGTCCAAGGGCTTGTGCACTGTACCCTAGAGGTTACACCCTGAATGATGCACGAAGTAAAACAATATGGGCCAACATAGCGAGGTTGGGATTCCCAATGGGTCTAGTCTCAAGGTCTAATGCATGAAGCCTTCCACAGTGGGATGCTCGGCTTTTTAGTCACCGGACCAAAAACGGCCCTGTCCGGTGGCTGGTTGCAGATGTCACTCGGCTGCCAGGTGTTCTCAACCTCCCAGAAGAAGTACGGGGACTTTGAATCCCATCAGCAGATCAAGCCAGTGGGGGCCTCGACGGCCATGGGCACGCCTTTGCCAGATGAGTTAAAGTTTTCCAAGGGAAAACACGTGTAATCTGAAAGAGGTTTTGCTGCACTGTTGTTTTGAGATATGGCAGATTTCTCTCAGTTGCAAAGCTATTCCCCCCCCCCGGTTGACCAGAGATGTGTTTATTTTGGGAGCGCAATTCCAGCCTGCAGACCTTGACACGCGGGTGCGCTCATGAAGGGTTCACAGGTTGCTATCCTCCGACTCCCAATTTGCACTTCATGAAGCTTGGTCCCTTAAAGTGAACATTTTTCAACCTGGTCTCTCTTTGAGCGAGCCCCCCATTAGGACATTTTGAGGATGTCACTCTGATGTTCCCAGTGACGTGCAGCCTTGGCCTTCTTGGGAGCGCTTGCGCTTGAGAGCGACCCAGGCCACCATGATGGACATTCCACTAGAGCCCGAGCGGCAAGTACATGGTGAGCTCACGATTTGAATTCAGTTGAGCCATGGGATCGAGATTCTTGCAATGCACATGGGGTCGGAGTGCCAGCTAATCAGTTGACTAGTTGCAGGTACGCCCTATCCGCCTCCAAGCGATGTCCGATGCGGCGGTGACTTCACTCTCCTGCTGGCGGGGGCATGGGGCATGTCTTGATTCATGCTGTTTTTCGGAGCGTCCCTGACCAGCTCCGGCAGTCGACCTGGCTGCCTGTCAATGGGGATGGGCATGAACACGTCGAACGTTCATATAGTTGTCAGGAGGCTTGAACACGATACAAACTTGCAGGGATGATTTATGTGCTGTGGGCAGTCCCTCGCACAGGCTTCACACACCACTGTTTATTGGACGAAGCAGTGTTCATGGCTGTTTGCCAAGCAGCAGTTCGAGTCAATGGCAACTTGGTAACAGGGCCTCTCATAGGGATCTAGCAGATTTGGTGCCTCGGCAAGTTCAAAAGCAACTACGGAATCTGTCGAACTCGCGCGTGTGCAGGCTTGAATGGTGTGTCCCAAAAGGTATCGCGGGGAACATCCGCCTGCATCGGCAAGTCACGGGTGCTTCGTAGCTGTCAAATACATGTACCTTTAGCCAGCATATTTGTTTGAGCCGATGTATTGTTGCATCTGAGAATCTCGCACCATCTCGCACTATTGAGCTTGCATCCCTTGCAGGTCAGAGACAGCCCAGACTGGTACCCGCCAGAGGAAGAGCTGCACACCCAGATGGGCCTGGCCAACGGACTTTCGGGTGGCACTTTTCACATGGAAGGCGGCACTTGCACCCATGCACTTCGCGCCAAGAGGCTGGTGCCAACAGGCGGGGGAGATGGTACAGCGCAAAGTATGGTTGACTCCAAAGGACATTTGGAAAGTATCAGAGGTATGGTTTGGCCGCAAAGCGCGAGATGGCTTCCCCAGTTGCAGCACACATTCCCTTGCATCTACTCTAAGACGACGTATAAAACAATATTTCATAGACAATCATTACTTTTGGTTTGCGGACGACATGGGGTTGCCATCCATGTAGTATACCCAAATTTCCCATACCATTTCGGGTCAGACACTCCCCATGTTCGACTAGCCGAAGCCAAGGTCTCAGCGGCTCTTTTGCTGTGGAGAGAATGGCAAGGGCCAGTGCGGCCGGTCTCTTCAGCAGCAGCAGCAACCTGACAGAAGTGGGGAAGACGCTCGAATACGTTGGTCAAATACGGAGCATACATCCGATACATCTTTAACTTGTGGCTTGGGGCGGTGTGTTCTGACTCTTCCACCAAGATTGGTTTCAGCATGTCAATGTCTGTCATTTTCCTGGCGACAAGGGGGCCCGAGTTTTCCGGCCCTCTTGGCTGCTTTCAGGCTACCAACCGCCATAACAGGTTGCTGCATGCAGCACGCCTGTCCCGTAGCGATCGACGTTGTTTGTTTGCCCGGGGGACACTCAGGTTTTCTTCAGCTTTACCCTTTCTGGGCATATGCCTGAAAAAACCACATTCTGTGGAATGCAGTGACCCCTGCTTCTGTAGCTCACCTACCGCAATCTCGCTCACATCCTCAAGTTGCGCTTTGCAAAAGACCGGGGTCACGCGATTTGACTTCTTGGATTCATAGGGATTGTGATCAACTGCTTGCAGAGGGATTTGAGAATGCTTATATACATATTCTCTATATCAATACATATACATAATATTTTTGAAGTTGTGCATTTGAAGCATGCGTTCAGGCAAAAGCTGCGTGCTCGCTGCAGGGAGAGCATCCGGTGCTTCTTTCTTGGGCCTGCAGGCAAGTCTTCGCTGCTTGCAAGCTGCCGCGGAACAGCAAAATGCTAGGCCTGAATCGCTCTAGCCATGTGACGCAGATGAGCACACGCTTGGCGGATTGCTTGAGACTTTGGGCGGCGGCAAGTTTAAGCGATATGCCACACTTGATTTGCATTGTTCTTCTGAAAGTGTTCCGCTTGACATCAGCAGACGCCCATGGGCCAGGCTTCTCCTGCGGCTCTGACCACTGCGTGGCCGTGATCAAGAGAATCGACTCGCGAAAGCAGGTGGGGCGCGGAGCAGCCATAAATTGTGGCATGTTGAGCTTGATTCGTGGGATCCTTTAGCAAAGCCAAGTCATATTTGGGAGGTACCTGTAGAAGAGATCTACAGTTCGCTCGGCATTGGGAACTCATGCCGGGGAAGTGGAGAGTGTCTATCAATGAAGCCCCAACAGTGTTCGTCACACCTTCAGCTGAGGCTGCAGATGCAAGCCAGTTTCAGAAGCTGCTGCGTGTTTTGTTTTGCTCGCGTGCATGGACATGAGTCACTCTGAATACGCGTGTGTCTTTCATTTGTTCTATTTAAAGTGCCGTTTCAGGGTTCGGCCAAGTCCGAAATAGTTGTTGGACGTAACATCCTACGTAAGTGATGTGGGCCGGGTTCCCATGTTGAACATGTACAACCCATGGGCAAAGAAATGACCGCTGTACAGGAGCTCTGGTGCTGGGGCCACAATGCCGAGGGCCAGGCTGGATGATGAGTTTTGCTCTGACCCGCTAAATGCATGAAATTTGACCGACTGGGGTCTCTCCATGCCCTCAACGATATCAAGCAAGACCTCCAGCCGCTAGTAGGGCATCAAAAAAGAAACGAGATCTCATGAGGTATCTGCAAGATGTTAATGTTTGGTGTCAACCACGACTGATTTTGTACTTGAAGTGTTGGCCTATTCAGTGCCCCAAAGCCACAAAACCGAACATTCACATTGACCGAGTGCCACCTCAAGGCCTCTACCCTTGGGGTGGCCAGGGAGTCGCACCAGCAAGGACTAGGCAAACTAAATACCTGGAGAATTGAAAGTAGGCTGTTCATGCCAAGCCGAAAATGAGAGGTGGCTGTCCGAAAATGTTCATTCCTTAAGTGGTTTTAGGTTGACTCACCTGATACTATGGCTCCGAGCAGTACCAACTCTGGAAGCTGACCGCTTGTTTAGGAAGCCCATCTTTCTTCTGTGACTGTTTGTCCGCTGCCATTGCTAGGGCTGAGGGACTGGGGGAATGTACGAAAAAGCTACGGACGCTTCCAAGTTATTTGTTTGAAATAGGTTTGTTTTCAACTCCAAGAGGGCGGTGTTCCCTTTCACACACACACACGGACACATCCGTGGGGACGGCCACAGGGTTTATGCACCTGCAGGCTGGCGGCAGCAACAGCGGGGCGGTATGCCCCGCTGCAAGGTTGCGGCTGCCCCGAGGGGCACGGGTCGAGGCGCGAAGGCCATGGCTTCTCCCCCCGCAAAAAAGGAACATGGACCCAGGTGACCCAGGCGGATTCCCAAGAAGCGGCTTCACTAAACATGGATGGTGGTTGGGTTCAAAACGAGCATTTCCATCGGGGGAGTGCCAATCTGGAAGTCGTGCATGACCGTGATTTACATGTGACCCACTTGCCCAGAATTTTCCACTGGGGTGGTGAAGGTGTTGGCATGCAGCTATGGCATATATATATATATATATATCTCTCTTTCTCTATATATATATAGTCTTGTGAGATAGCAAAGAAACAGCTCGCAAATGCAAATGCCGACCCGAACCAGGTCAGGTGCAACACGTCCAAGCGAATTGCACCAAGTGCTGGGTTTGCCTTGAGTTAAAATAATGACGGCGCACTGGTTTCAGCGCGTGCGGGAGGCTGCCTGGTGCGGCTTCTCCAGCAGCGGGGCGCCATCCACAGCCTGAAGTGTGTTGCTTTTTTTTTGGCAGGTTTCCCGTCCTTTTTAGCAGGGCTCGTTGACGTGTCAACAATCAGCCAAGTAGGACGCCTGAGTCGTAAGAACACATTCCAGAACGGCCCTCAGAAAGGATTGGACTCCTGGCTGAAAAAATGGTGTGGCCGAGGCGATATGTTCCGACAGTTCCTCTCGGTTCAGAGTGAAAGACGACGAAAGTGACAGCGAGGGGTAGATATGCGCCCGCCAGTCATTGCCTTTGCAATAATGTACACACATTGCTGGAAGCGGCTCATCTTCCAGCCTTGCAACGGAAAAAGCCTTGAAAGGCAATGCAAATTGCAAGCCACTGCAAGGCTGGGCCAATTTTCAGGCACCGCTTGCCTTCCGCCCCACCCCCCCTAGAAAAAGGCGGATCAGCAGACCCGGGCAGGTTGCCTGACGTCCTGCCGCTCCTTCGCCCTAAGGATACGGCGCCAAATTTGGCACCTGCCCACATCAAGACCGGCTCGGCTCGGCATGGCTCGGCGACTGCGTAGGCTCCAAGTGCCCTGCACTTGTAGCATATTGGGAGCTGACCCTGTGAGCGGATTGCTGAGAGCCTAACAACATTGAGCGCGGGGTCGCGGGCATGAGGTGCAAATAGCCTTGTTGCTATTTTGGCACATGCTGCATCATTTCAACTGGATATCAACCATTTGGCTGCTGAGTCAGCTTTATGAGAGCTGATGGACAAGAGCTTGTCTTGCTCGCTCCAGCTGTTTACAGGGTTGAGAATGAATTTACCAGACCTGTCGGCTTCTTGCCATCCTGAGCAGAGCTGGCACATCCCAACACTAGAACAACACCGACCCCATCAAAGCCACCCCCACATGATGCGCTCCCCCAAAGCGATCCGCACAGCATAGAAGCAACGCACGGATAGGCTTTCGTGCACCATTTCACCCAGCCCCTTTCGTCCCATACATCACCAATCATACTGCAGCCTGTTGGGCCCTCGGCCCTCTCCATGGGTCTTTTGTTTTCACTAGCTCGAGACAAGCCCAGATTTTGTGATACATTTTATTTGAGACACGAGTCACATACCTTACTCCCAACCCTCCCCAACCCCCCAACCCCCCAATCCCCAACCCCCTCCAGCCCAATCCCCAACCCTCCAAACCCCCATGGCTGGGCCTTCATGGAGCTGGGCGTGGAGCTGCGGGAGCTGCGCCTGGCGCGGCCTCTGCCCCGCCTCCGCTTGGCGGTGGTGGCGGCCTCCGCGGCGCTGCGCCGCGTGCACGTCAGCGAGGCGGCGGAGGCCTCCGCGCGGCCCAGGCGGGCGCCCGGTATGAGAGCCTTGGGGAATGAGCCTGGGGGTCTGAAGATTGGAAACCAAAAGCAAGAAAAACGAAGCCAGGTCTGGTGATCCCTTTTGGAGGGGTGGTGGCAAGGTGGTTTGACAGGTGTTTCAACGCAGATGAACATGTTTGACAGCGAGTCGTCTGTTTTGTCCGGAAATGGCGGATGGAGACAAAGGTTGGGAGTGGGAATGTGAGCCAGAAATCTTAGGTTTTTCAAGTAAGAGTGCCTGGCCATCCTCGAAGGTCACACATGTTGAGAATGAAGACATCCGTTTGGCCACTCAGGTGGAAGGCAGCAGCATGGAAGTTGAAGCTGCCGAAGGGCCAAGCTCTTCAGATTCAACTTCGCCTCTATGAAGGGGTTGAATGTGATGAAGCTCGACTTCTTCGGCATTGACATCTTTGCTTTTTGCATTGTGTTTGGAAGTCTGTCTCTCATTCCCCATTTTCTCCAGAGATGACAGATGAGAATGACCCAGAACAGTTCTCAGAACACTTCTAAGAACCCCCTCCCCGAAGGCGCTCTGATGCAGTTTCCTGGGCCTCCCTAGAGAAGCTGGCTCTTGTATGAAAGCAACACGTCTGAGGAGAGGACGCTGCTTGAGCACGCCTTGCCCCTGTCATCCTGCAGCTTCGATCTGGTGGAGTCCTCCTTGCAGGATCCCAGACCAGTTCAGTGTGCTTTCCGTGTTTTTCCCTTGGTGGAATAGGGAAAGCGACCCCTCTATTTCCTCAAATGTCCTCATGGACACCTGTGCAGGATTTGCTCATGGAGGAGCAGGTCAGATCTGCTCCTCTCTTCACCCACGCTGGGCCCGACTCTGAGTGGCGAGAACTGGGAGTAGTGACCATTGCACTGGGATGGCCGTCACCGTCGCACGTGGCTTCTTGGGCAGCATTGGGGAGGCGGCATTCGTGCCACCTAGATTCCTTTTGTGCTGCCTTGATAAGGGGCTCCTCAATTTGGCCGCCCTTCCATTGCTCGGGTGGAAAATTGCACGGATTTTATGTTATACACAAGAATCCGCCAGTTTCGGTAGTTTGCCGAGAAGTTGGTGCCTCCAGAGCAGCTGGCGGTGAAGCCGCCGCCGCCCCGTTCCCCCGCCTCGCCGTCGTCTTCGGCCGCCGCCGCCGCCGCGGCCGCCGCGCGGCTGGGGCCCATGGTAAGGCGCGAGCAGAGGGCGCTGCAGGTGCTGGCGGGGCGGCTCGGGGCGCTGCAGCGGCAGCTCACGGCGCTGCAACGGCACGCGGAGGAGCTGAACAAGGAACGAGACCTCCAGCTGCACAAGATGAAGCTTGGCAGCTTTGGGGCGTGGATTTGATGTATACCATGGCGATGACATGGGACTCTTGGGAATTTGCATGTTGTTTGTGGGACCAGGGCGTTTGCACAAAATGAGCTTGAATTGGAGGCTCTCTCAGTTCACATCATTTCGCAGAGCCGCAAACACCGTAAGGTCGTGATGGCGGGCTTGCTCAGTTTTTTGGCGTGATGTTTGGCAAATGTGAGTGGTGCAGGATGTTGCAGGATGTCCTCCCATCAAGTATGGGAATCATCCCCATCGAGTGAGCCTGAGGGGTCCAGTCTTGATCGGTGTGTCTCAATGGAGCGCCCTGTGCCGTCGACACGCTGGCCCTCGTTGACAAATGACATCAAGAACGATGGACGCTTTGTAAGCATTTTGATTTCACTAGAGGTTCCTTTCACAAGCCGCCCACCCGAGGTTGTGCAAGGGATCCCCGTTCCCATGAGCAAGGGACATCAAACTTGCTTGTTTCCCCGAAAGGACATGGAACAAAGGGAGCGTATTCAAATCTGTAGAGCTTGGTTCCGCAAGCAGATAGTGCACGCCGCCAACAAATGAGAGACTCTGAGAGCACCGATTTTCTCCGTGTCCATAGCACGGCACACGCGGCTCCGAGGAAGCAGAACGAGCAGCAGCTGCAGCAGCTGCAGGAGCCGGACCTCACGGACCTGGATGTGGAGCTTCTGGTCGCCGCGAGGCAGGTTTGTTTCACCGACTGGCCCATTGGTAACTTCCTGTTGGTAACGTTGCCAATGTTGGGTGGTCAATGTTTGGAACTATCTTCACTTTTTAGTAAAGGGCTGATGGTAGGAGAACACTAGATAGGCGCAGGGTTGAACGTTGATCTAGCCGAAAGGTACAGGCCCCCAGTTCTCCAGTGCATTTTCTTTTTGCCAGTGAAGAAAAACAGCGGCCGAAAAAAGAAAGTTGTGTTTTTCCGTTGCTGTTGTTTTGTCACGGTTGGCCAATTGAAATAGAAATCCATCATCTTTTGGCAATCAATGGGGTGAGAAGCCACTTGTTGCCCTGATCCAAACAGGTGCTTTTCGGGGAACCCTTTCCCTTCCCCCTGCGATTCGGTGCACGATTCTGCTTCTTTTTGTTTGCTTCCCCCTAGAAAAAGGGCCAAGCGAAACCTTTTGTTGTGCTTGTTTGCCGTTCCCCCAATTTGAGAGCTCCGAAAAACTTCCCCCTTGTTGGAGGGATCGAACATTGCAGAGACAGGTTTCCCAACTTAAATGATGCACAAAAACGGTGGGAAATACAATGCCCTCTGTTTATGTGACTGGGTTTCCCTCTGCAACAGCCAGCGGAAGAAGGGCCCCTTTTGGCCAGTGAAGGTTTGTACATCTATTGCTGCCTCATCCGAAGGGGGGAGGGTGGTTGGTTTTTGGATTTTAATCGGCAGAGCCTTGCCTCTTAGGCTTCCTTCGCCACTTCCAAGTTCGAAGCCGTCTCGGCTTTCAAGTCGCCGGTTGCCACCAAGGAGCTCCCATTGAAGGGAATTAGTGATCGATCCACTCGAACCAATCTGCGAGAGGTTCCGGACTTGACCGATCGTATGTTCCAAAGTTGATTCACATGCTGATGAAGTAGACTTTGTGAACGAGGGCTGCGTCAGGGCACAGATGTAAGCCCCATACCTCACAGTGCCTCACAGCAAATCAGTCTCCAAATTAGCTCAACCCAGGACCAATTTTCGACCAAGTATCCAGAAAACAGCATGGCACTCTGGCTTGTTCACTATGGGTCCAGTTCCTTTTCGAGCTGCATTGGTTCTACGACCGGCACGGGTTTAGAGGTTTATGTAGGTCTCGCTATAAACCTCGTGAGAGGCAGGAGAACCACCCACTATGGTCGATAGTGCTTGTTCGGGTCCATTTCCTGTTGCGGTTGGTGTTCATTTCCGCGAACTCGCAGTGGCCTTCGGGGCTTCCAGCGCCTGCTGCTGGCGGCAGAACAGCGCTGGCGCCAGATGCGAGAGGCGGTGATCGCTCGGTGGGGTGAGTTCCAGGCCGGGGCCAGGATGGGGAGGAGGGGGAGAGGGGGTCTAAGGATTTTCTATATACTGCAAATTGTTGGGCCAGCTTGTTTGAGAGTAATAGTCAGTTATCCTGTACATGTCTTGCTGCTCAAAGATTTGTTGCTCGGTGTGCTATGTCCTGTACCAACAGACCTGGACGTGTCCAGAGGCGCATCCAAAGACACAATGGTTCACGTCTACACTGCTACCTCCGGAAATTGCGCCGTTCCGGTGTTTCGCTGAAGCGAGGCCCTGCGGGAGAAGAATTTGCAGACGCAACAGCTGCAGCGTCAGGTCGACGAGTTCCAAAAAGTCCGGGAGGAGCAGCGGAGCCTCGGCTCGGATTTGGCACTTCCACCAACACCTGTCTATTTTAGTCTTCCCCCAAGTCGTGTTTGGGTGTGTGTGTGTGTGTGTGTGTTGGGCTTGTGGTGTGGGATTAATGTTGGACCCCTCCAAAAGGGTGGGTGCTCAAAATTGGGCGGGTATTACAATTGTTCCTTTGATGGCTTGGTGTCAAGCGAATACTTCTGAGACCTTCGCAAGGTCTCGAATGCCTCCT